AACATGATTGAAAATATGACTTTAGGAGAGTTTCTGATCTTGGTAGTGAAGGAGTAACAGGAACTACACTGACCCTTCTTGTGTAAATAATCCAACTATAACACAGAAGTCGTTTGTTTTTAGGCACTTAGTAAGGGCTAGTTAGGTCTGTGGTTTTGAAGAAGGCTCACACAAGTGAATCCCACATTCACTTTGGCTATCCAACAAGGAACAATGGATGGGGGAGTTTTATGAGGCTAAGCAGCAATAACCACAGGGAGGCAGAGAAATAACAGAGGGCAAGTAAGCAAGTACTATTGAAAGACATTAGGTTTGTGGCCAAGTAAGGATAGAAATACATCACAGAGCATCTCAGTTACTTGATCAGTGCTTCACAAAGATTACACTTTGGGATTAAGAGTCACAACCTAGAATGAGGACCACAGCATGGGATCAAGACAACTAGAGTGGTCACTATTTTGAGGTTATACATCAGTGTATTGGGCATCTATCTATTCTAGGATACAAGATGCTCTGGGATAGAAATCACAGACACCTGATACAGCTGACGTTCTGCCGTCAGTTGACATGTGCAGTGTGTTGATGAGTAGAGCGATGAGTAGAGTTGTGAGCCAAGAGAACAGAAGATGGTGGAACAACACTCTTAATGCTCACGGAGGAAAAAGAAAAGCCTGTCTGCTCAGAGTTCCGTATTTAGTGAAAATATGAGTTTAAAAAATGTGAGGAAATAGAGGTTTGGGAGATAGCTCAGTTGAAGTGCTTGCCACACAAGTAGGAATTCAATCTTGAGAACTCACCTAAGAAAAGCCAAGTGTGTTGCCAAGTGGTGGTGGTAGCACACACCTTTAATCCCAGTACTTGGGAGGCAGAGACAGGCAGAGATCTGGGAGTTTGAGGCCAGTGTAGTTTATGGAGTGAGTTCCAGGACAGGCTGCAAAGCTATAGAGAAATTCTGTCTCAAAAAGCAAAATATAAAAATAAAAAAAAAAGAAAAGAAAAGAAAAGCCAAGTGTGGTGGCATGTACCTGTAGTGTATAATGTATGAAATAATTTTTTTCTCTGTTAAAATACCAAGAGTTTATTTCATCGCAAAAGGGGAACCACATAATGGATTCAAAGAAATTAAATGCATGATTAGTACACTCTCATTTCATGTGACTGACACCAGGAACTGAGCAGACTGTGTTGAGTAGACAGTAGACACTGAAACTTCGATTTGATAATCAGCAGAAAACTCCATCCCCACACTTACCTTTGTTAAAAACTGACAAACAAACAAAACCTCTACAAAAATATCCCCTAATTCCTTATCACGTTGAAAGAGTAATCTTGAAAGACATTATTGCCTAGGACCCTCTCTTCCTCTACCTCGGTCTCGACCTCGTCCTGCAACAACTTCCCTTTTCTTAGATTTCACCTTAGGTTCGGCATCCACAAGTAATATATCCAGAGGTAAACTGTCTGGTAGAATAAAATATTGGATGTTATTTCCTCAAATACTCAATGTTTCTAACTGTACAGGTTCTCTGTTCTTCAGGGTCATTTTCACAGCTTTAAGATGTGATTTCATGCTGACATCTACATCTGTGATTGTTCCATGGACTTGTGTTCCATTCTTCAATTCAATGGTCATAATTTCATGACTCAATTTTGTCAAAAATCTCATGAGCTTCATTCTACTGGTGTAGCCTCCCTCTGGTCCTACTGGACACAGAATTCGAGCTCCAAAGACACACCAACTAGGCGTATGAATGGCCAGAAGCATATAAAATAATTATTATAATATCCCTAAAGATATAGGTGGGAATGTGGTAGAACTATTGCTTTATGATTCTTGTGTTTTACAGTATTTACATATGCACAAACTATAATAACCTAGTGAATATGCCATAACTCTGAGAGCAGTCCTTAACAGAATAAGGCACTGATATACTGTACTTTAAAAGCCAAGACAAATGAGAGTATTGAAAAATATTAAACTATTTACCTAGTCTGACAGTAAGAAAGTTAGGAAAAGAGAAAAGCAAAAAGAATGAAGCAGTTTATTATTATTATTAAAGATAATTTATTGGTCTGGTAGCAGCATAAGTGAGGGAAAGATGCCCTCCTCCCTGCCCATCAATGCTTGGGCCAGGTGGGAGAGCTGGCCCTGTGGTGATAAGTATGGGAAAGACATCCCTGACCCCACCAGCTGCACCACTCAGGAGAGCAGAGTATGCACCTTGCCAGGGCAGCACAATAGAGCCAGCCTTGTTAGCGCTGACCTGGGTGAGCCAGCCCCAAAGTTGTAAGCATGGGAGAACTGTCCCTATTACCCATCTGCATTGTGGTGACATGGGTGGAGCAGAGATGCCCTCCACCCACCTCAAGAATCAAGTCTGGGGCAGGTGAGAGAGCCAACCCTATTAGCGTAGGTGTTGGTGAGGCAGCCCCAAAGTTGTAAACATGGGAGAGCTATCACCATTTTTCATCTTTCATTCCAACCTTACAGCTGCTCAGACACACATTCAGGGTTATAATTTTCCCTACTCTAATATCCACCCCATGTATGATCTGCTGGAGCACATGAAGGGCCTGACCCACAGACCCAAAGCCTCAGGATCTCCACAACACAGGGCAACATCAGGATATACAGGAGGAGCTCTAGGCAGGACCCAGCATCGATAGGGCAGTAGAAACCAGTTGCAGAGAAGGAGGACTGATGAGTAATGGGGTCCACACCAGGCTGGTGAAACCCACAGAAACAGCTGACTTGAACAAGGGAGAGTGATAGCTGGGAAACCAGCATGGGACTGATCCAGACCCCCTCAATGTGGGTGTCAGTGTGGAGACCTTGGAAATCTGTGGGACCTCTTATAGTGGATCAGTACTTATCCCTACCATAGGAATGGACTTTGGGAGCCCATCCCACATGGAGGGATACTCCCTGAGGCTAGACACAAGGGGGCTGGCCTAACAGACTTTGAAGACCCCCCCATGGAAGGCCTCACCCTCCCTGGGGAGCAAAAAGGGTATGAGATAGATAGGGCATTAGTTGGGGGGTGGGCAGGGGAGGAGGAGAGGGAAAGGTACCTGGGATTGATATGTAAAATAATTTTCTTTCTAATTAAAATAAAATAAAAAATGTTTTATTTGGGTCAGGGTGCAGGGGTGGAGGACAGATACAAAGGGACAGGGATATGAATGGGATCAAGATCCATGATGTAGAAGACATACAGAATAAATTAAAAAGAAAGAAAAATTTAAAATTACACTATTTGGAGGAAGCAATTAAAAAAGAGAAAACTTTGTCCTTTGATGTGATAAGTAGAAATTGCAGATCACCAGCAAACTGATCCAGAATGCAAAGAAACAAAACAAAAAAGCAGACTGCAATGGGAGAAATAAGAGAGAGGTTACCATTGGAAACCCCACATACACTCAAATGATGTTCAGAGCAGTGTATACTAACCCAAAGTCACATACTTGATATTTCTTAGCATCTAGCCTCTATTGAAAGTATGTATTTACATAGTCTTTTTCTTATTTCCATCTTATAGTTAAGTCCATTAAGGGCCTGGGCCATCTTTGTATTCCTTTACATTCCCTGTACTATGGTTATGCATTTTTCACATTTATTTATGTATATATGTGTGCACATGAATGTTGGTGTGTGTTAGAACCCACATCAGCACACATGTGGAGCTGGTTCTTGTCATCCATCCTGTTGGTTCTGGGGACTGAACTCAGACTATCAAGCTTGGCAGCAAGTGACCTTAGCTATTGAGTCACCTCACCGGCCTCCTTTAGTTTTTATAGTTTTATTTATTTGGGTAAGGCTGAAACATTTTAGTTGGATTAAATCAGCTCCATTTTGAGATTCAGCAGTGACTTCAGATGCTTCTGAAGATATGAAAAATACTTTCATTTCCACATGAATTAAAGTATCATATTTACACTCTAACAACTCCAGCCTTAAAAATTGAATGAACTACAATGAAGTAGCTTTTATAGTCTTTGAAAATAATTGCATTTCATACTTGGTGCTATTTGGAAATGCAAGCATGAAGTTTCAGAGAGTGATTTCTGTGAATGGTTTTATGTTGCTTGGGCTGGCCTTGTGCATTTCATTGTCTACCTGACACTGGGAGGTTGCGTTCTAAATCAAAATCTTTCTCTTATCTAGAAGAAAAAAATGTATTCTCCTTAGAAAGTTAGAATTAAATTATGAAGAAAATGTTACACATATATCCACTGAATGTTTGAAGTAGATGAATATCTCATTGTTTATTCAAGACACACCAAATAAGTAAAATGGGGTTTCTTCTTTCACTAACAACAATGAAATGTACATTAATACTAAATTAAAACATTTCTGCATGTGATTTTCATTAAAAATGCAAATTGTATAGTTAGAGATTGCATAACTCACATCTTTAACAGATGATAAATGTTTTTCAAACTGTTGAATATTATTTATTACTATTAATAAGCTTAAGTAAAGATGTGGAGGTTGGATTGCATATAAATTAAATACATTATAGTAGATGGTGTTGAATGGGAGGAAACAATATTGAGAATCGAGGGTAGAGGTGAAAGAAACAGTAGTAGGTGTCTCATACTGTAGTATGACATTAAACATTTGACCAAGAATTCAACTTCGGGTATTCTTCATGCATATGCACATACGTCTAGGGGGAAAGAAGACAATTACTCACAAGAAGTTCCATTAGCTGCTATGTATGACCAACAATATGAGGTACTGAGTGGTTTGAAACAAAGTGAAGGTCCTATAAAATGTCATGGTCCTTTATTCTACAAGTTCTCTTTTGCCACATGCTCCTTTGTGATGGAGAACAGATTGAAGGCTGCTTTCTCTCTAGTGCCTTAAATTCAGCACTTTCATCTCAAAGCATTCAGGCTTTTACTTTGTCTAAGGATGAGGTCTTCAGTAACTTCTTTTTTTTCCAATAAGAAGGGTCTTCTCTAAAAAAGTCTTTTGAAGGGATCCAGGTATCGAGATGAACTTCAGTAACCAGATGTGGACAGGAAACTTCTTAGAGAGATTGGATTGGTAAGCTGTCAAGCAAGGGTTTTGGAATTGGGAGCCATTATTGGCTTACGTTGCTGACTGGAGTGAAGCAGGTAGAGTAAAAAGTCTTGAAGGAGAGTCAGGGTCAGGAATTACACCCTTGAGACATGGGTATGGAGTAAGATGACATTAGGATGAAATGACAACTAAGGAAGATACCAGGTAGGCAGCTGGAAGAGTCAGGGAGAGACACCACACAAGTTACCATGAAAAGAGGTACAGGATCCCAGGAGGCTTCAGCATGTATGAGAACTTGAGAAGGGGGAGTGTATTTGCAGAAACACTCTGATGCCAAGCTCATCTAACCTTGAGTTTGGGAATGTGCTAAGGTTTGGGTATCAGCATTGTTCTCTGACATGGAGTTTTTGAGATTTGCTGTGAGGCTGTAATGCCTAACTCACCTGGAACACTTCCAGAAAGTGACAGCCACCTCAATTCTAGCCACCCATTTCAGTTGTAGATTGAAATTGCTGATCAGCAAGTAAGTTGTTTGAGCATTGTTTTTTTCATCCCTTCTCGATTTAAGGGATAGTGTTTTGTTTTCTTTTGACATTGATGCTGGAAGAATAATACCTTGAAGCACTGTGTTTAAAGAGAATTGAGGAGCTGTGTTATGACACAGATAGAGAAGGTGAAATTCAATATAATGTAAATTTAAAAAGGAATTAATTAAAAATTTCCAATAAGACTATCTTGTTCAAAGATAAGATTAAAAATCCAATTGCCAATATATACCATGTAATATTCATTCTATTCCATTTTCACTTATAGTAACTGGTAGAAAAATGAAAAAAGTAAGAGAAAGTGATCTCCAAAATGGACCCAAAATGCATGAAAAATTGAAAAAGTTACTAACTGAAAGGTTGCTAGTTCTCAATAATTCATGGAAATGAAAGTGTATTAAATAGCATTGATTTCTCAATTTTCTTACCATATTGAGTTAACTCCTTAACAATTTCAATATATAAATTAGTTTTTGGCAAAAGCTTTTAAAATACTACAACCAAATCTCAAGATACAAATATATAATAAGTAACTTTTAAGTCTAGGTTGACGATTTAAAATAGTCTAGCTAGGACTGGAGAGATGTCTCAGAGGTTAAGAGCACTGACTGCTCTTCCAGAGGTCCTGAGTTCAATTCCCAGCAACCACATGATGGTTCACAACCATCTGTAATGAGATCTGATACCCTTTTCTGGTATGCAGGTATACACGCAGTCAGAACTCTGTGTACATAATAAATAAAAAATATTAAAAAATAGTCTAGCTTCATTTATGCAAAAATAACACTTCATTGATTTCTCCAAAATGTAGTGTAGATTATTTGCCAAAATCAAATGACTAGTTTAAATGTGTGAATATAAAAATAGATTATTATTTTAATGTTTATATAAAAATTATTTCAACATAAAATCTTGATGGACTTGGGATACAACTAATTTGGCAAAGTGTTTGCACTGCAAACATGAGGATCCAAGTTTAGTCTTCCAGAACCCATGAAAAAACCTGAGCCCAGCATATAGATCTGTATTTCTAGCACTGGGAAAGGGGGCGGGGGCAGAAGCCAGAGGACTCCTGAGCCTTGCTGGTGAACCAGTCTAGCTGAAGCAGTGAGATCTAAGTTCAGCAAGAGACCCGTCTCATAAGAGGAAAACACCTGTCATCAAGCTCTGGTCTACACACACACACACACACACACACACACACACACACACACACACACACTGAGGGGGATAGGAAACTACATGTGCATGCAAACACTCCCATGCACAGGCACATGAATATGTTGTACACACATGTACATACATGTGCAAATATACACATAACATCTAAAAAGACATTGACAATTTTAAAAAGAAAACATTGAGTAGTGTTGAGTAGTGTTTCATTCCTCCATAGAGAACTGTACAATGATCCCTGAGATGCAAAGGAAATAAGGAGATTATAGATTTGAAGACACAGACATGTGATTCAAGCAAAAAGTGCTTCAGTGCTCTTGTCTATTCACTTACAGCTATTCATTAATAAAGTGACTAAGGAGGCCAGAAATTATCCAGGAAGAGTTTCTTTCAAGTGCTGGAATACTGATGAAAACCAATACCCTTCCACAGCCTGGGCTTGGCTGTTATTTTCACTGTGGTTTTCTTAACCACGAGTATTAGGAAGAAGTACTTGTAGTTGGTTGGAGTTTCATCTCATATAATGGTTATCATCACACATATGTCAAGGTTTAAAAAGTTACAAACACAAGCAACACTATACCTTTCATTGAACATGAAGAGTAAGTAGTCTAGCCTGTAATAGGTTGAACAAATTATGATAGTGTAATGACAGTACTCTCTATATAATACATTTAATTATGCAATGTAGTATGTATTATATACATGTATACACCCCTTATTGCTCTACTAAAGCTTCTGAGGAACATCTGGACTAATTTAGGGACATGAGGGAAGAGTTGGAGTTAGAATATTTACTTGGAGATGTTTCAATTTGAAGTCCTTTGCTACTTACTGTATTCATCCTGTCAGTCATCGTTCCATGCTCCTCATACAAATACATGGGGGAAAGCATTCTCTTTCCATCTCTTTTTTGACACCTCTCCTTTTCCCTTCTTAGTCCCACTTCTTTGTTCTTTCCACTTTTTTCATGTTTAAAATAAAAAAAAAATGGTTTTTCTTTTTTCCTGCAAATAAACCCTGGCATTTTGAGATAACTGTTCACCTGCTGTCTGAGAGCTTGAAAGCCAGTTGCTTTCAAAGGACCAGGTACAGGTGAAATCTTATCTGAAAGGGAAGTAGTAAATCAGAAGTCTGGATGCTTGCAATACCTTAAAAAATTAAGATGAGACTGCACAATGTTAAACCAGGTTAGCAATAAAGTCATTCCCTCATTGCAGGAGTTTATAGATCAGAATTAGCATTCGCTAGGAGGACCTAGGAGTATATTTGTAATCATTAAGATTGCTAAAGAGCCTGGCACCTTCCCTTGTCATGATCCTTGGAAATGCAACAGAAATTCAGTCATGGAATCCCTAAACTACGGTATCGCAGAGCTACCATTGACAACTCTGGGTCCTGGATCCTGACTTTGCCTGTGTCTAATATGCTTTCTAGATGTGGGAATTTGTTTTTGCTAAGGATATAGGGCTTTACAGATTACTAGAGTTTTACTTTTCTTTGAAAGGTAGAAGTGTGGTTATGGAACCAAAGATGCTTAACTTTTACTAAATGTAGTACTTAATGGGTATCATTATGTTACAATATTAATCATAGTTAAGCATTTAACAGCATTTTAACTTTGTTTTTGCATTCAATTTTTATTTATTTACTGTTTTACTTTCATCATGTATATGTTCTTGTAGGAAATAGCTTCCCTGAAACACTCTTCTCTGAAAAAAAGGTCTAGAAACAAAGCTGTGGTTATAAGAACTGTCAATCAAAGTTGAAAACAGCGTGTTACTCTGCATTATACTTCATTTCTCCTCCATGACTGACAGTCCTATCCTTTTCATTAGTTTTATATTAGATGCATTATTAAAGAAGGCTACTTAAATTGACACTGTGTGTGGTGTGTCTGTGGTATGTGAATATGTGTGGATGTATGTGTGTAGTATGTATGTATGTGTGGTGTGCATGCACACTGTGTGTGTGTGTGTGTGTGTGTGTGTGTGTGTGTGTGTGGGGGAGCACACACACTGTGCACATGTGGAATTCAGAGGACAACTGGAGGTAGAAAGTTCTCTTCTTCCACTACGTGGTTTTCTGGTGCTGAACTCAGGTGGTCCCATCCTGTGGCAAGTGCCTTTACCTGCTAAGCCATCTTACAGGCCCTAAGCTGACTCTTCTCAAGTCACATAAAGGTTAGGAGAACTGGGGAAGTCAC